TGAAAAACCGCTTTATGCTGATACTTCGCCTTTTCGTCATTGCAGTTTGTGTCTGATTGTGTAAAATATTTTGTTATTTTGTTTATTGTTGTCCTGCAAATGATGAATAAAGACGTATTATTATTATTATTATTATATTGAAATAATATTCAAATTTTTATTTTATAGAAACGACGAGAGAAAATACCAAAAAATCTGGAATAATGAATGTATGTACAGAGAGTAGATATAATCTGCTTCATTTTTTATAGAAAATGATCACTTATTAATCCCATTAATTTAAGAGGAACTAACAAAATTATCGCGATAATATCCCGTTGGTATAAACAACGTAAATGAAAAGGAGCCTTCTTATTGGTTGAAAATAACTTGCATCATATACCATTTCAGACTGGAAAATTTCACTGTTTCACACACCAAAACTATTTTCACACACTGGACACTCATTTCGTTAAATAAATACAAAAAGCTCAGTCATTTCCATACAATGTTCATAGAATGAACAACAATGGTAGATTTCGGGAGAAAAACAACTATTTTCCTGGCTAATGCCACACAGAACATTGAATTACATACTCACACAGAACATTGAATTAAAATACTCCCGAAATCTATGCATCGACTCGTAAAAACGAATACTGATACAAGTGATTCTTTCCTGAATGTCTAATGTTGTCGATTTAGCCAGACCACGCTAGACACCTACAGACCGGTTTCGAGCTTTTTGACTCTCATCAGTGCAGGGCAGTGTCTAGCCAGCAGTTTTTTTGTTTGGCTAGGCTGGGCTACGCTTAGTCGGCGGTCTAAAAAGTTTTTTCATGACTATTCCAGTCTTGATCTCGAGAACCAATCAGAATCGACCATTCTCACGGTTTCTTCTGTATTCTAGCGATATTTTTTGTTTATTAAATTTTATCGGACTTGCTCTACCAATACAGAAGCCGAATTGACCCACACGTGACCAACAAACCTCGTTTATCAGCGATACAATTTTGACATCGTGTCTCGTCAAGATTGCTTTGGATTCAAATCTGAGACAATAACCTAAGTTCCTACTTTATTTTATTTACTTACAATTTGCGTTAGTGAGACATTTTGTAGGAAAGGCGAGACAATTTCATTCTGCATTCTGGCTTGACGTTTCATGTGTAATTTAAAAAGTTTGCATATTTGTTGACGGTCTGACAACAATACTAGAATTCAAATTCCTTTTTAAAGTAATCTTCTTCAATTATTCAAGTTATTGTGACAGATATAATTACCAGATGATGTGGCGCAAGTGATAGGGTTGTTGCCCGAGGATACGATGGTCGGTGGTTCGAGCCCCTCGGCAACGATATCTTTTTTTAAATTATTTCATGTCACATAAAGTCGATTTATTTATTTTTTAAATTGGATAGCTATTGTATACACTCTTTTGAGAGTAACCATCTCCAAGATAATAAAAAAATACTGTCTATCGAAATTGTACATTCCACTTTGTGAATAACTATAAGTAGGTAGTTAATTTCTAAAAAATGAAATTCTGTATTTCATTACTATCATTATGTTCTTCTTCGCAGTTTGAGTTGGAATATATTTAAATGATGTTTCCTATTTCTCATATCTATTGTCTCATTCAATCATGAAATAGTCATATGAATACAACTCCTGATACTATTTTTCCTGGAAATATTCGTCGATTGACATACTCCAGCTTGCTGCTCTAATTTCGCTCATGACATTGATCCAAAACTTTTGATAACAATGTCTTTCACGAAATTACTAGGCAACAAGCTGTCGTAACAATCGCCGAATATTTCCGGCAAAATATTATCACTTGTGGTATTATATATGAAAATTCCACATCGGTAAATTTTAACCCATCAAATCGGGTTTTTTGACAAATCACCGTAGCAACGTATGTATTTTAGTGGAAATTTGTTTATCTTGGCGAATTGAATCGGAATTTTTTTGACGGTTTAATGACAGAATAGTATTATAATTTTCTACCACTTGTAGTAACCCATAGTTGATCTATAACCGAGAAATATAATATGTTACATTCTAAATTATTGGTATTTTCATGCAACTACAATAGTTAGAAATTAGGAATTTGTAAGCTAGGTATTCTATTGTTGACAAATCTGTGACCAAAATAAATTTGTTCATAAATGTACTTATATGAAAATCAAATAAATAAATTATTCTTAAATTTTTCAATTTTCAAACAAAATCTCGAGCAAAATCTGGTGTGAATTTTCTTACCGAATACCACACAGGGTTAAACTATTTTGCGGATTTTTTTTTCGAGCTCATGAATGAATATCTTGGAAATTATTCCCTTTACTCTACTTTCATATGAGAGTGAGAAAAATATATGATTCCACCTGAAATTTTCAAGAGAAATTGGATATTTTTCTGATTTTCCAAATGGAGCCATCAAGCTGCCACCATGAAATTTTAAATGACTGGATTTGTGATCTATCTGAAAAATCTGAATAAACCCTCCATAGTGATACCAACTCCGTCAAATTCTGTTACACCAAACTGTAGTATGACATTTTGTTAATTGAAATGATTAAAAACCAACTTGAGTTTATGAAAAAAGTGTTTTTGATATGTCTTGACACATGAAATACTCATTCATAAAATAATCACTTCTTTTACTAGGCAGAAAAGCTCAAGATTTATTTGCGCGGCTGGTTTTTTATAACTGAGGCTGGTGTTTTATAGCTGAGGCATTGAATTTTCTTTTCTGCCATGTGCAACAAATGATTTTTTCTTCAGGTTTTGTCAATTTTTCTTATTGAAGAATCCATCATTGTGTTCACTCAATATCAGTGTCAATTTTGATTACCAATTTTATTCAAATTACTTTGAATTACTTGGAATGCTGCATAGCAACCGAAGAAGATACTAAAATATATCCAAAAGCTGAATAATTTTGTTCCTATATTCCATAATGAAATATATAAAACATTAGTCAACAGAAGCCTTGTACTTGTATAATTTTTCCAAACCAAAATGATTCTGGCCGAAATGGATAATAAATTTATTAAATAATTATGTGCATATTAACTTACAGGCTCTTTCATCCAATCTGGTAATGCCGTTCTGAAAATAAAACGATGAAACATGAAGTGAATTGGTAATTTTGCACCCATCATGGGAGATTTTCGAGATTTTGGTAATTATTTTGTGAACGAGACCGTATTTTGTACTGGTAGTAAGCATTTGATAATGCAAATTGAACAAACAAATATTCGTCGAGAGAGTTTAAAATATTACCTTCACGCGTTAAGGAAAACAACAACAAACAAAACAGTAAACAAGAATCCACCTGTGAAATTGAAATGTGAAAGTGAAATTGACACCACGAGGAGTCAGAAAACCAAGAACTATAAAAGAAGAAGCAGTAGAGAAGCACAGTAAGTGACAGTAAACATTAATGCCAGTGCTGGCTGCCAGAATTTCCGATCTTCCCCGATTGACCAGTGGCGCGCGTTTCCACCCTTTTCAGGTATCGACACACTTTGGCCATTTTTCCTTGAAACTCACCACATAAACCGGGTCAACAATGAGTTAGTTTGTATGTAACAATTTGAATTGGTTATTATGGAAATAATTCTAAATTTATGATTGGCGGAGTAACTCCATGTATATCCACGTATATTCGAAATTATACAAGGTCTTGACTCAAATGAAAGTTCTGATCGATTGGTTTGAAATCATATGGAGAAAATAATCGAAGATATATGAAGTCAAGCTCGGCGATGTTGATAATAACAAGAAAAAAAAATCAATCAGCAGGAATATTTTAGCCCATTATGATCATTTTTCGGGAACGAATCTGCTCCAAACGTACAAAGCTAAGTAAAAATTTGATTTTTTTTTCTATATACCTTTATTCCTCTTTTCCAAAATTTTTTAATACAAATTGTCACTGACAAGCTAGTGAATTTTTCTTTTAGGCTCTCTGATAGGAAAATTCTTTAAACGTTGTGACATTTTGGGGCAAATCATCTGATTTGTCCCTACTACACGTATATTGAATAATATTCATATTTTTATTTTATAGAAACGAGGAGAGAAAAGCCCAAAAAATCTGGAATAATGATTATACCACCTCCTCGATAAACATACAGACAGTATTTCTTTTTTCCTTGTTTTTTCACAAGTAATTTTTCAAAAAATATACTTCTCAGAAAAAGGATCGATTAGGACGAGTTCTGTTGAAAGAAGTTTTCATGCAGAAACGATATTTTCCTCCCTCATATTCTGTTTTTCACCCAAGTAATTTTTCGAAAAATATACCTTCCAGGAAGAAGATTAATTCAGGCCGAGTTAAATTTAGTAGGTATATGTAGTGACATTAAATAGACATTAAATAGTCCTATATAGAGCCAACTTGAAAAATGCAATAATCAATGTGAACAGTGACTTTTCGGTCTAGAATCATTATCTATCAATTAATTATTCCTTTCCTGGGCCAAATCATATGATACTCCTAAATATCGAAAATATTTTATTTTCGATACTTTCGCAGAAATTTAGCTGCTTGACAGTTTACGTATTCTACAGTTGTTTTTTTTTTCTTGAACCGTCAACGTGACATGGCCACGTGAAAGCGACGTTTACGAAATACGAGAGACTTGCAAAAGTAGCGCTTCAAACTCTGTGGCTGCCGATGGGCTGCCGCTGCGAAGGTTTTCATGCGATACGAATTTGAGAAAAATTAGACATAGAACAAGTCCTAAATGAGCATGGTTCATGTTCTCCAGTTCGATATTGTTGGCATCTGGTTGGCATAGCTTTTTTCTTATGACATTAGCAGTCTAGGTAGTAGTTTATGTCAGTGGTTAATTTTTACAGCTATATTTGTCAGGTCACTTCAAGTGACTTCACAGATCACAGATTCAAATGACAGTTGACACCACCACTTATGTAATGTCAGTTTTCATCGTCAGCTGGTCGGAAGGTCAGTACTGTCAGGATTTTAATATGTGAATTTTCTGATTGTCAATATAATTTTTCATAACATTTGCATAGAATTTCATTTGTGGCGGTAAATATAATAGTAATGATCATTAATATTAAAATGAAACTCTGATGGCAATGAGCTAAAACCATCGTTAATGATTACCTGATGTTATCTCGGATAATATATTTGTACAGAGAACAGCAAAACATGTTATATGGTTTCAAACACCTTAGCAAAATTGAGAAGACTTGAGAACTTGTGCTTACTGAGAGTGTCTCCTGTCTCCGAATTTATATTGGTATGAAATAATACTGGTAAGTGAACTTTGGAGGATAATAAACTGGTAGGTATTATCACATTTCAAACCATATTTCATTGAACTTTATAACATCAGTTAGGTTCCTATAGGTACTTACAGGGTTGACCATTCCAAACGAAAGAGGAGTATAATTGCGTCTGCCAGCGAATTTTTCAGAACTGAACGTGTAATCAGATGTTTTGTATGTCAAAGGGGAAAACAACTCTTTGAATAGGTGTGAAATGTTGAGTATTTAAATATCATTTTCAATACATTAAGTAAGCTTTGATATGCTCTTAAGTACCTCAAGTACTAGTATATTGAGTATTCAAAATATGCTTTAAATCTGGCTTTTAATACTTTTATGCAATTTTTAAGTAGGTACATGACAATAAAATACTGTGTACAAATTTTGGGCAGTTGTTTCCCCTTTGGAATTAACCATCAATGGTAGGTACCTATATAGTCAATAAAAGTTCTCAAATCCAAATTTTAATCCAAAAACGAAAAAACAATATCAATAATAGTACTACTCCAATGGTGGCAGAGTCAGTAATAAGGTATAATCAGAACAACATTCTCATCTGATGGACTTAGGTCAAAAGGTCTGTAAATAGTTCATAGATATAGTTGAAACGTGACTGTACTACACTGAACTGGACACTGAATGACAAGTTTCCTGACAAGTACTCATATACAGGGTGTCTCGAAATTCTACCGTTAACGCTTGACAGCTGATAGCCATTGTGGTTTCATAATTACTGAGGGTGGGATATACGATATTCAAGTGTTCGGTTCTCGAGATACAGGGTGTTGAAAATAAAAATAGTTTTTTTGCAATAACTCAAGAATGATTGAATTCGGTATATGGTTTAATCTGTGTTAGCAAAACATGTTGTGCGTTTAAGAATTTTGTGTAAATCATATCGTTTGTGAAGTTTTTACATCAACCATGTGTAATAACAAGCCATGTAGAATAACTAAAGTGGATACTTTCCGGACCATTGCCGAAAAAAGTAATTATTTCTCAACTTCAACATCCAGTATCTCAAGAACTGAACACATGAAGACTGTTTGTCCTTCTCAGTAATTATGGACTCACGAGGGCTATCACCTGCCAAGCGTTGTCGGTCGATTTGTCACACCCTGTATAGTTCCATGAATTCATAAATATATTTATGTAAGCTAATGAATTCAAGAAGAATGCTCAAAACTTTTTTGTCTTGGCCATGACTAGTTTTTGTAATGTTTTCAAAATTACCCAACAAAAAATTATTCATTTCATCACCTATTGAGATGACGTCTATAGTGGTCTACTGAACACTTGAATGATTGATTTATTTTCTGAATTGAAATCTGAGCATATGAAAAGATTGAAAAGAATAATTGAAAGTCTGAATGACACACAATAATCATCCATTTTATGAGTGAAAAACTGGATTTGCGTACAACAATAGTTTTTCATGAACTTCCCCATTATCATTTCTCTATTCTGCGTTTTTTCAATATAAATATGCTTAATCACGAAATAGCCACAATGCTCACAGTGGAATGAAATAGTAAATAAATGTGAAGAGCTCACAGTCATTTCCACCCAGTGTTCATAAAAAAATGAACAACAATGGTAGATTTCGGGAGAAAAACAACTACTTCCCTGGCTAATGCCACGCAGGATATTGAATTACATCCTCCCGAAATCTATGCATCGACTCGTTTAAACGAATACTGATACAAGTGATTCTTTCCTCAATGCCTATTGATTTCGATTAAGCCAGGCCGCTAGTAGTCTTGTGTAGTTCGCGAACGAACTAGTTCGAAAGAGCGCTCCCCGAGGTGAACTACGCGAACTAGTTCGTTGTCAATCTGGGTTTCAGTTCGTTAGTTCACTGAAAAATGCAAACGTTGACCGACCAGACCGACCGATCATCTCTCTGTCACTGCCGAGCGTGCGAGCGTCGAGCGAGAGGACCGAGACTTGCATCAAATGAACAAGCGATTCAGCGATTGGGATCGTGTAATGCGAACCGCTCAACTTCCCGGCCGGTCACTTTTGTCATTTCACAGCGTTCGCAGTTCGTAGTTCGTAGTAGAATCGTTCTGCGACTGCGATCCATGTAGTATCTCTACGCTGCGGTCGTTACGTGTCTGCGCGGCGATCGGCGAACGAAACGAACTAATGAACTAGAAGAGTGAACTAGTTCGCCAATGGAGAACGAACTAAATTGAGCGATCTCTGAAGTGAACTAAAATGCCCAACACTAGCCGCTAGACAATCACAGACCGGTTTCGAGCTCTTTGACTCTCATCAGTGCAGTGTAGTCTCCAGTCAGCAGTCCTAAGACCGCCGACTCAGCGAAGCCTAGCCAAACAAAAATCAAGTTGGCATTATATCCACCCCGAGGCGTCTCTCATCGATAAAATGAAAGTAACGCCATCTGAGTAGAACCGAGGAAAGAATCACTCCAAAACTGAAAATCCCATACGGGAGTGGCTGGCAGCCCGACTGGCGTGATATGAACTACGAAATAGCCACAATGCTTTTATGAACACTGGGTGGAAATGACTGTGAGCTCTTCACATTTATTTACTATTTCATTCCACTGTGAGCATTGTGGCTATTTCGTAGTTCATATCACGCCAGTCGGGCTGCCAGCCACTCCCGTATGGGATTTTCAGTTTTGGAGTGATTCTTTCCTCGGTTCTACTCAGATGGCGTTACTTTCATTTTATCGATGAGAGACGCCTCGGGGTGGATATAATGCCAACTTGATTTTTGTTTGGCTAGGCTTCGCTGAGTCGGCGGTCTTAGGACTGCTGACTGGAGACTACACTGCACTGATGAGAGTCAAAGAGCTCGAAACCGGTCTGTGGTTGTCTAGCGGCCTGGCTTAATCGAAATCAATAGGCATTGAGGAAAGAATCACTTGTATCAGTATTCGTTTAAACGAGTCGATGCATAGATTTCGGGAGGATGTAATTCAATATCCTGCGTGGCATTAGCCAGGGAAGTAGTTGTTTTTCTCCCGAAATCTACCATTGTTGTTCATTTTTTTATGAACACTGGGTGGAAATGACTGTGAGCTCTTCACATTTATTTATGCTTAATCAGTTTGGTTAAGGGTGAAAAAATAGTAGAACAATACTTTTAGCATGTTGAAATTATGATCGAAATTATTTGGTACTGAATATTGAAAGTTTAATCCATATCTCAACAAACCAAAATTATTTCCGTATACCTAAATAAATTGTTTCGTAATTCATTTCATAACTTATAGTCTTTATATATTTATTTCATCTCCTAAATATTCGATTTTGCTAAGACTATTTCACCACTTGTCACTTCAATCTCACGATTTCATTACGAATTACCAGAATCTTATTGATCTTTAGTTGATTATTGATGGAGTTAATGATAGATGTTGTCCAGTATAATTATGATTTATTGTATTTTTGATGCTCTTGGGATTCTTTCACGAACAATAAATAAGAGTATCATGCAAAAAATGAATTTGACATTGAATGATAACAGCCCCAACTCTCTACCATGTGAGACACCACTATCACAACTGAGGACACTAGAATCCTATTTGATTTCTATTTTTGCTAACTATGAAGCTCCGAAGAATCTGTCATTCATTCTAAATAATGGAGATTATCAATTACTCTTCAATTTCCTGATCAATTATTCATCTTTATCAAAGTTTTCAAACGCTCTTCGTAAATCAACAAATAACTTGCCAAGGTTATTAAATTCTAGCAGATGATTTCCTTACATGGAATTAAGCATTCCTCTTTAGATTTCTAAAATTGTTTAGGAGCCAAGATAGGTTGAAAATCACTTCGGATTGGAAATCAGGACGTCCAATTAACTAACTTTACATAATTATCTTGGAATAATGTCACTTCTGAGATATTAAATTGTCTCATTTTTCATGGAAGCACCTCGTATTATTAATTATTGAGGTAGGGTTCTGGAATTTGCATGAGAAATAAAGTCAACTACGTAAGAAACGGGGGTCCTTCCATAAAAAGTGGGACAACTTTTAATTCTTCAGAACTGATGCATATTTTCCAGAAGAAATATGAAAAGTTAGTTAATTGGACGTCCTGATTTTGAATCCGAAGTAATTTTTAACATATCCTGCCTCTTAATACCATTCTTTTGCATACTTCCATGGCTGTTGGCGAGCAGTATATATCACTGAAGATGACTCCACTTGATCATAAAGGGCTTTCACGCTGGGTTGATAGTGACGTCAATATTTCAACACATACAGTGTTGCCAGTTGAAAGGAAATGACTGATATGACCAACATACGTATTAATAATCAATACGGATAATCTCTATCTGTTTCCATAGCGAAACATGAAGCCGATTTTTGAAGACAAATGACTATCCATAAGGAAAAGTTTTGAAACGATCAGACACATACTGCTTTGATTGAAAGGCTAGTAAACGTCATTGTCCACCGAAACGCATGTCTTTGATGACTACTATAATAGCGCATGGCGCATGCGTATCATGCCACCAAATCCTTATGGATATTCATTTGTTTCATATTTTTGGCTTCATCCTGGCACCCGTTATGATCCGTATTGTTTATTAATACGTATATGCCATACGCCCGAATATGGATATGTCTAGTGTTACGATCGTCGGACGTTATAATGTTTTTTGGAACCAACTCAAAAGCCGTCCATTTATGTTTCAAAATCAGCACTTGAAGTTGATAAATGAAATTCAATCTTTGTATTTAATGAACCATGCACCTAAACAATATACTGAATATGATGAATTTATTGATAATGGAATTCTCATAAAGAATAATAACTTGAAGAATGATTTATTATATAACAACATCAACAAACAATCACAGACATTGACATTAAAAATAACTCTTTTTTTCTACCAATGCACAATTATGTCTTGAATTATTTTTTTTTAATTAAACTGATCAGTATTCACATTTACTGAGTGAAAATAATAAAAACTTCAATTTTCAGGTTATCTAATCGTTTTGAATGTTTTTCAATCACTATAAATTGGTGAAATGAAATAGAAATTCGATCAATTGATTTTATTTCGTGGGAAAATAAATAGTGGTGCATCTACTTATATTGGAAATTATGAAATAGACAACAGTTGTTCTTACTTCAATATTCTCAATATAATTCATGAGGAAAATCCACAAAAACTCATAAACCACTATATCATTACAATGAACTAACAAATCATATTTGGATCATCCGGACAACACAAAATATCATTATTAATACCATCATTCAATTTACATCTCTCACAGCAGTCATTGGAAGTAATGGACCATCTTCTGCGCTTACGCACTCAATGGTTTAGGCATTTTGAATAAATCGAATTTCACCTATGGTCCACAAATAAATCAAACAATTCCTTGAAAGTACAAATTGTCAGTAATGAATAATTCGCAGAGATCAGCTGATCACAACAAATCGCTTCTAGAAATGTCAAATAAATCTGGCATCGGTGTACAGTTTTGCCAACTTAAATCGATAACGCGGTTCGCCCATTTCGAAAGTTACTAGTATTTTTCGATGTGCAGTTTTGGAACGACATTGTTACCAAGTATTGCGCAACTATCAACCCAGCGTGAAAGCCCTTTAGTGTGTATTTTCAGTATATCTACCGCTCCTGCAAATTACAGAATCCTAACTCAACAATTACGATAGATACAGGGGTGGTTTCATTAGAAGTGAGACACTGTATAATATTCATCTTGAGTTCTGATCTTCGTATCTCATCATCTGAAGTTTCAGCTTCAGAATTAGCCTGCGATTTGGAATATCGGTTGACAAGGAAAAAACCAAAAAGGTATTTTTTTGAGATCACTCCCTAAATAAACGAGATAAGAAGACAATTTGAAAAATGTCCCAAGGTAATGAGACCATCTTCCTCTGCTGTCAAAGTTGAGAAAAAAAAGTTTTTGTTCATTTGGGATCATCCTCTTGAAAGTTCCGATATTCGAAGCAAGAAAAAGTTTTTCTTTTTTTACAGGGGCAACATTTTGGGGTGCGACGAAATTATTGTTGCGTAGTTTATTCAATGGTTAGTCAAGCTCAAGGTTGAGTTATTCATGCAAACCCAAGATCTTGCCAATTTTACTCAAAAAATCCTTGCAGTTCCTCTTTGTCAAAAATCGTAATCGAAATTTCAACGGGGCAATAACAATGTGAATTTTGTATTATTTTACAGGTGCAATGCTGGGGCTTCAGTATCATAGTGTTCAATCTTTCTTCAAAGGAAATCGAGAACATTTGCATACAAATTTTTCGTGCCTGAGAAATCATTGAAATGCAAAACACTTGAGGCAGCAACTTCTAGAAGATTCGGATCCAACGAGCTCATCAGTCCAGTAAAAGATAAGTGTTTCTTGACTCGACACATATCATGGCAGACGGCGATGAAAAATCCTTCAAATGCGATATCTGCGACAAGCATTTTCCTTTGGAGGCCTCTCTCACCCTACACAAGTTGGCACACATCGACGCAAAAATATTTGAATGCGAAGTTTGTCAGCAAAAATTCGTCACCAGGCAGAGCCTGACCAAACACACCATTTCACATGGCGTCGTGCAAACCTTCGAATGTGAAATCTGCAACAAAAAATTTGCCAACAAGCGCAACCTAACCGACCACAGTATCCTGCATACCGGCGAAAAACCCTTCGAATGCAATGTTTGCGGCAAGAAGTTTCCTCTGAGGAAGTACCTGAAAGTGCACAATGTAGAACACACGGGTGACATGCCAGAGTGTGGAATCTGCCATCAGAAATTCGCCACTAAGCACAACTTGAACAGACACAGCATCCTGCACACCGGTGTGAAATCCTACGAATGCAATGTTTGCGGCGAAAAGTTTCCGTTCAAGAGGTACTTGAAACTGCACAAGATTGAACACGTAGGCGATATGCCGCAATGTGAGATTTGCCATCAGAAATTCACCACGAAGCATAACTTGAACAGACACATAATTCTGCACAACGGAGACACACCTTTCGGATGCGATATATGCCACCAAAGGTTCGCTTCCAAAAGGAACTTGATGCAGCACTATATCGCACACGCAGCTAGAAAACAATACGAGTGCAAAATTTGCAACTTCGTATTTGAATCCCAAAACGACTTGATAGAACATAGCGTCGAGCACGTTCAGGGAAAACTATTTGAGTGCGAAATTTGTCATATGACATTCCCTCTGAAAAGGTACCTGAAACAGCACAGTTTCGAACACTTTGGTGGCAAGCCGGAATGTCAAATTTGCCATAGACAGTTCGCTACGGAGCAGAACTTGAATAGACATACCCTTTTGCACAGCGGGGAAAAACCTTTTCAGTGCTACATTTGCCGCAAACAGTTTTCCTCCAAGGCGTACTTGATACAGCACAATGTGGTTCACATCGGTGGAAAACCTTTCGAATGCGAGGTTTGCCATAAAGTGTTCAAGCGGAAGAATTCTTTGGATGTCCATAAGACGGCTCACATCGATTTGAAACAGTTGGAATGTGTTGAACAGAAATTGGTCGTTAAGGAAGAACCGCGGGAAGAACTGCCTTTTCCCAATGAATCGCACTCAGTGGAAAGTGAATCTAACCTTGAAGTGGTGGCAAATAAATCCCGGGTCGAATTTGAATATCGAGATGTTAACATCAAACAAGAAGACAATAATCACTGACCATCGAATTGAAGAGATTTTGTTTTTTCTCACTAAAGAACGATGATTATTTGAATATCCATTGGTTTCTTGATCATTTGTATATGTTGCGAACTTTTTCTGCAATCAATGTCTGTTGTCTTTTTGATCATGTAATTGTGTAATTCAAAATTGATAGATATACACTGAGTGCAAGATTTTAGTCCAGTGGAAAATTATATTATACACCATATTATTGAAGAATGTTATTATTTCCCATCAGGGACCATGAAAATATCCCAAGAATACAACCGATGGATATAAGGTTTACATGATGATAATATTATTTATGCACGACCGTTCGTAAAGTGGCACTTCACTGTTTTTTCAGTATTATACTACCATTCTATCTTTCTTCACTAGTGGCATGCATGATTTGAGCAAATGAATTCAAGATCATTAATAAATTCAAACTTGACACTAATTAAAAGCATAAACCTAGGCTTGTTGATAGTCCTTGATGTCGCTCGCTTGCAACGCTTGCTTGTTACATTCCTAATAAATTATCAATTCGAGGAATATTGACTATTTTCGTAATTAGCGTTTTTGCTAGTAGGTAAAATATACAATATTCGTATCGTAAATTCATATTACGATAATAATATATAAATAAATTGCCCATCTCATATCTTAATAATATGAGTCTTACTTACTACTAGCAATGTTTTTCAATCATAGTATCTAAGATCATAGTTCTGTAGAACTGAATAAAGAATAATGAGAGCGTATACAGGGTGATCTATATTAGAATGCTAAGAATTAGCCATTCAACACTCCTACTGAATTCTATATAGGTCATCGGTAGAACTGCGGTCATTATTTTTGTTATTCAGGATGACGGGTGAAGTCAACTTCTGATAGGGGATGTATGAAACATGTTCGTCACCGCATGATTATTCAACTTCATTTCAGAATAAAATACAAATGACAAAACCAAGGCAACTGAGAAAATCCGTAAAAAGTCACGTTGATTTTTTTTGTGAATGACATTGGCATAAGTTGAATTCACATTCAATTTCAGATTCTGCTTCACCAATCAGAATACGAAACGTAAAAAAATTGTTTGTGAACGCCGCTTTGGGCCTGTTCGTTTCTGCTTGGTCTACCTGCTAAACTTGATTTTTTCTATGACTTTTTCTGTTTACATCATGCTATGAACAGAGATAACTATGGGAAAAAAATCAACCTTAGCAAGTTTAGCAATACAAACGAACAGGCCTTTTGAAGAAAGAATCTAAAGTCGCAGATATAGCACAGTCGTACGTCCGAAGCCAGAACGATGGATGTAGTGGTTGCAACTGTTGGTAGGCACTCGTTCACCGACAATGAACTCAATAAATACCACCGACCACCTGATGAATGACATGTGACGACGACGTCCTGTGTCAATGCCATGTGTTGTGAGTTGAACAAACTTGTTGAAGTTGTTGACTGGGTTATAAGCTGTCACCTGTCGTTTGTTATAAGTCAATTTTCAGCTGTCATCTGTAACCTGCCCTCGCTGTCATAAATGGCTCTCGCAAGTAATTCAATTAGTAGCATGCTGCTGTTGCTTGTGATAAACAAGCCAACACACGATATTTCTTCTTAGTTAGAACTTTCGAGTAGCTCGATAGCTCAGTGGTCTGTGTATCTGACTTCCACGGCGGTAGCGCGCAGTCAAAACCCTGCGAGGCGTCAATTTTTGTTCTTATACTTTTCAGAAAAAGCATCATTTAGGACGAGTTCTGTTGAAAGAAATCGCCTTATTCATACAAAAACGATATTTTCCTTCCTTATACTCATAAAGTTCTGTTTTCACCTCAGGAAACAGGTTCAATCAGGCTGAGTTAGATCGAAATTAGTCCCTTATTTTACAGACTAGTATATTACACACCGAGGTGGGAAGAGATTCATTCCTGTCGGGAGAGTAGTCAGTTATCGTCTCGAGAAAGGAATGAACCTTTCTACCGAGGTTTGTATACTATTTTATTTACAACCATCATATTTTGATCAAAATCAATAAATCTCTGTTACGTTCTGAATATACCTAAAATATTACATACGACGTTAGTAATGACAACATTACATATATGGTTGTAAATAATAGTATATATTACACACCGAGGTGGGAAGTGATTCATTCCTGTCGTGAGATTAGTTAGTTAACCGAGACGCAAAGCGCCGAGGTTAGCTATAATCTCGAGACAGGAATGAAACTCCCTACCGAGGTTTGTATACTATATTATTTACAACCATCAAATTTCGATCAAAATAAATCTATATGTTTCGTTCTGAACATACCTGAATTATTACATGAGTGAGGGCGGGAAGCAGTGAGAGGCGGGAAGTGAGGGCAGGAAGTAGAGGTGTGTAATGTGACACTTCTTAACTTTCAATGACGTTAGTAATGACAACATTACATATATGGTTGTAAATAAACGATATTTTTCTTCCTCATAATACCTTATTACCTTCTGATTTTCCGCAGCACGGCAGCGTGCCATTAATTGAATGAATGGCGAGAGACGTTTGTTCGCTGTCAGCCAACAGCTTTTTGCCGATGCAGCCAATGGCGGCCATTTAGGCGGCAGACTTCTTGAACTAGAGCTAACTTACACTACTTTCTTTCAAATTGTTTAAATTTACTGAATAATTCTCTGCACAAAAAAACGAAGCTATTTGAAGCAGAAGTAGCAAAAAAGGAGAGTCATCTGTGAATTTCAGGGATAAGAATCACAAATCCAATAATTGACGCAAATATACTTCCATCGAAATTTTACATCAGATTACTTTTATTGATGTTAATTTCTTGGAGCCAATTTCTACTATTGCCCTGATGAAGAGTTGGGAAGGTGTCACCTATTCTCCCAACCATTTCCACTGGAAGAAGTGTCAATACAACAATTTTTGTTCAAATAATAACCTGAGGACCATGTATCTCCACTGCAGGCAAGTTGTCATTCTTGTAAGTTTAGAACGGTATTTTCGGAAATAATGAATCAGGGCTGTGACAGAAAAGCTTGAACCCTTCCTCTGTATAAAAACTGCTTTAAAAAATCTGTTTTGAACTTTTTGTACAAAAAAAGTAGAAATTTTAGGAAAATTGGGAAAATATGTACTGGTAATGAAGAAAATGATATCTCAACAACGGTAAGAAAGACAATTCTCACATCTCTTGCTTTTTCCTTTCGATTTTGAGGCATCTCGGAGACTAATAACAGCTCGGCTTAAAAAATATCTTATCTACCTGGGTATATGATGATCATTTTCATTTTTTATTCTCAATTTAATTTTTGATAACATAGGGTGTATAGCTTCTTATTCCTCGCGACCCAGTTTTTGTCAATAAATAATGTCTTTCTGATCTGTTTCGACGATTTCTTCAAGATTTTCCAATTTTATTTCCCGATATTCCAGATCCATATTACACTCTTGTTTGACGACAACACTGTCAAATTCACTCTTCACTTTGTGTGATTCAAGGTGTAATTTGAAGTCTTCCTCATTGGAATATGTTTCATAGCAAATGTCACACTCTTCTTTTTCATCTTTTGATTTTCTTGGTTCTTTGACTCTTTGCGGTGCCAATTTAATTTCAGAATACCCAATGTCGTTATCACATTCTTGTTTGACAACACTATCAAATTCACTCTTCACTTTGTGTGATTCAAGGTGTAAATTCAAGTCTTCCTCATTGGAATATGTTTCATAGCAAATGTCACACTCTTCTTTTGTTTTTCTTGGTTGTATGACTCCTTGCGTTGCCAATTTCACCAAATCCGGTATGTCACACTCAAATGATTCTCCAAAAGTTTCCACAGAATTGGGAATTTTTTTCTGGGAAATCTCGCAGCCCATCGATTGTTCACGAGCGTGCATATCCATGTGCGTAGTCAGACGTACCATGCGGGCGAATGTTTTCTCGCAAATATTACATTTGTAAGGTTTTTCATCGGTGTGAACAAAGTAGTGGTTAGCCAAGATGTACTTGTATGAAAACTGTTTGTGGCAAACATCACATTCGTAAGGTTTCACACCGGTATGCTGGATTTTGTGTTGTATCAAGGTTTTCTTAAACGGAAACATCTTGTGGCAGATATCACATTCGAAAGGTTTCGCACCAGTGTGCAAAAACTGGTGACTGATCAAACTGCGCTTGTAGGCAAACTTCTTGTGGCATATCTCGCATTCGTAGGCATTTATACCACTGTGCAAAATACCGTGCTTGTTCAAGACCCATCTGGAGCTGAACTTCTTGAGGCAAACGCCGCACTGGTGGGGTTTTTCACCGGTATGCAGGAAGTTGTGCTCTGTCAAACTACTCTTGAATGAAAACTTCTTGAGGCAGATATCGCATTCAAAAGGTTTCGCACCAGTGTGCAAAAGGTTGTGTCTGGTCAAACTCTGCTTGTAGACGAATTTCTTTTGGCATACTTCGCATTCGTGGGCGTATGGCTTTTCATCGTCGTGAATGATACTGTGCTTCCTCAATGTCGATTTAGTGGTGAATCTTTTATGGCAAGTTTGACATTTGTAAGGTCTTTCACCAGTATGCAACATGGTGTGTGTGAGCAAGGTATGTTTAGCGGGGAACTTCTCGTGGCAAGTTTCACATTCGTAAGGTTTTTTACCGGTGTGCGAAATATTGTGTTTTTGCAAAACCTGTTTTGTGGTGGACAGCTTATTGTTATTTTGACATTCGTAAGGTTTTTCACCGTTGTGCATAATGATGTGAATCCTCAAACCCTGTTTAGAGTTGAAAAGTTTGCTGCAAATATGACATTTTAATCCTTTTTCTTCAACAGCTGGATTTTCCATTTCTTCACAAAGAAATACCTTCAAATGGACTAGACCTTCTGTGCATGAAAATTTTTGTGGATTACACAAATTATGTTCAGTTCATATTATCGATTCCAATGTCTTTCAACATGATGCAATTTCTCTATAAGTGAAGACAATATGGATTGCTGATGAAGCTGTGGATATAATTTTTGGCAACGGCTGGCTGCATTTTATCTGTAAGAAACAAGAAAAAAATGAAACAATATAGAATATTTCATGAAACTACTTTTTTGTGAGCATTAGGTTTTTCATAGACATGCAAAATACACTGTGTTAGTTCAAGATCCGTTTAGTAGTCCAAAGTCGTGTTAGTTACACCATTTATAACTCAAGAACGGATAGACGAATTTTTATGATATTTGGATAATAAGTATTTAAATTCGTGGAAATTAGGAAATTCAAGATGGCCGACGAGTCTTTTAATTATGATCCGATTGTATTCGAAATGGATATCTGGGGTTTTTCCGGGGTCGGAGATTATGATTCCTTCGTTAAAATTAAGAAATTATCAGGTACCCAGTAGAGGAACACATTCATGGAAAAAAAACTCCCATCCACGTGTATTTTTTCGATTCCCAAAAGAAGGGTCCTGTGGGGTTAATTCTTGCCCGATAAAATATTGTAAGATATACAAATTATCATATACCGTTAGAGGAACACGCTCATAACAAAAACTCCAATCCACGTGTATGTTGAAGAATTTATTTTTTTTTAATTTCCTAAAAGGGGTCCTACGGGGTTAATACTTACCCGACAGAATATTGTGATATATATATGTGAGCAAACACCCTCTAGTTTTTTGAATATTATCATCTAGAAATATCGAGGCTTTTGGAATTGATGGGCGAGAAGAACCCAATTTGTATCACTCAGCAACGTGGCTAAATGGTTCTCTGTTTTCCATGTTCGATGTGAATGTTTAGATAATTAATGATTATGAATGTGTCAGATTTCGTGTGGAATGTGAATGAGAGAAAGCAACACACTTGTCCTTGGGACTTGATACTGGTCGTAAGAACCGTTGTTAGCTATTCGATTTTTCTACAATAAATTAGTTTTTAAACGAAAAGTCGTGTCGCTTATTCCTTTATTCAATCATCAATGCATTTTTTGAAAACAGAAAAGGACAGAAGTATAGCTGTGTCCGGACTCTTGTCTAAGTTATATCGTTGATTGATATATTACGCTTAATGTATCACCCTGAATAGTTGACATAATCTGAAATAGAAAGTTCATAGGACTATGAACAACTTCGATTCTCAATTGTTTCTGTATCAATTCTAGTGTACCAGATAAGGAGGTGGCCTATATTATATGTGGGATACAATCAATAGTAATCACAAAAAAGTTGAAACTTTGGGAACATTGGGAAAATATGTACTGGTAATGGAAAAGAATTATATCTCAACCACGGTAAGGAAGACAATTCTCACATGTCTTGATGTTTTATCTCGAAGCTCGGCATAGAAAAATGTCTTCTCTACATTGCTACGTAATCACTATTTTTATTTTTTATTCCGTTTCTAGTAACACAAGATGTAATCTCTTATTTAGTCCAGTACGTGGGGGTCTTTTTGAATGCAAAAGGTGGGGTAGTAGCGATTTTTTAGTATGCTTGGGGTTTGGGACCCTTATGAAAAATCCAAGTTCTTGACCTCGATGCGCATGCGCTAGAGCTGCCATCTTGGATTTTAGGTACAAAAATTAGCTTTCTTGATAAAAGCTCAAAAGGGTGGCTTTTACGACAAAACATGCTCTTTAGAAAGTTAAGGAAGACAACATTTCCTACAGGACACATTTGTTAGGAGTTGCAGCTCCATGAAATACCACGCCATTTGAAAAAAAAATGCAGAAACTTCATTCCGATTATTTTATTTTATTATTCTTATTATAGATCATGTAATTCTCATTTTCCAGATATTTATTGATGGAAAACACAAAGGAGAATCAATAGATCAAAAAAAAATCGGTGCCAATTACAAAATACTTTAACTAATGAAATAGAAAACACTAAACAACCCTAGCGTCTGGAATGGAATTCGGAATCGTAGATACTGATAACACAAAACCACAAAACTCTTTGAGTGAAAAATTCACACCAAACATATTCCATCAATTTAAAGCCTGTATTTCGTATCGTTACCATAGCAACTAAACAAATTTCTTGGAAATTTTTTCCTCCTCCTTGGGGGACGGAGCATGAAATTACACAGGAAATTTTTTGACGTTTATAGATTAGATGACATTTACATTCAACTTCAGATTATTTCGAGTTCATTCTATAAGTCAATAAATAAAAATCATGTATCAACAGTTTACCATATAATATTATGTAGGTATACTTGCAAATTCGAAATTCACAAAAACACATGTTGTTACTATACGTTAGTTCTAACATTTCATCACAAACAACCATCATTTTCAACTTTATCATCTAAGTGTTTTTGAAATTCCTTTTTTCAAATATAAAAGCGAACATTCACTAGAACGTATAAAATGTCTATGTTTCATGAAATATATGTAGTACTTTGAAACAATCTTATTCTGTTGTAATCCACGAAGAGCTCCATATTTTTCACACGCCAGAAGCAATTGATATTTGATAATCCCAAACAAATTCGGTGAATAAATTATTGCTATACGACTATAGTAGATTAGATTGGTCGAAAATAGATATATTAAACTATAATTAACTTTTCTGTAGAACTTTCTTTTAACTAAAGTGGATAACTAACATATTAGGTCTCCTGGAAATAATAGAGAACATTATTATACTATTTTTATATTATTATCTATCATTTTAAATAGGCTCTTTCATCATTTTCTACCAACTTTAGTTGAATAAATTTTTGAAAAACTGAAAGATTGATTTACTACTGACTTATTTTTCTTCAATTTATTCAACTAAAGTCGTTCAAATATATTTTATTCAACCTAATAATATTATGCGCGCAAATTTCATGGATATACTGAATAGTACTTTGGGTTCCTTGCAGGAAAATATATTTCTACCAAGTTTAGTGAACTGAATTTGTGAAAAATTTCAAAAGTCAACTACTATCGATTCATTTCTCATTATTTTGTGTAACTAAAGTAGATTAATTGGGTTTTATTTAACCTAACAATGTTATGAATGTGCATTTTATCAATAATACTAATACATTTTCATATAAACACTATATTATACCTACTCTTCAGTTTTGACATGAAGAATGACATACGCAAATAAAAAATAGTTATTTTTCTACAAACGTCAAAAAATGACAAGGTTCGCGCATTTATAACAAACTGCGAAGTGACACTTTTTTTCAGTTTCCTACGTTACCATGATACCTTGCACATAACAATGCGCGAAGTAAAACAGTGCGCGAAGTACCTACTTCGCGCATTGTAATGTAAAATTAATGAGATATTTATATTTCAACTATATGGTCCTCAATCGAGCGAAAATCCATGAAATCATTTATTTCTGAATGTTCAACAATAACTTTTGTATTATCTCTTGAGCGCACGAAAGGAAATTCGTATTATGTTCGTGGAACATCGTGCGTACCTAGGGAATATAGGGGGAGGCCTTCAAAGCCAGTTCAACACTATTTTTTATATCTAGCTAAGCATATTTTTACTTTAGAACTATATTTTTTGACGTTTGTAGAAAAAATGTTGTTTGCAACTCGAGCGCGAAATACTTTGGTCATCTCGACTATTTTTTTAACTCGGCTACGCCTCGTTAAAAAAATCAGATCTTGATCACCAAAGTAGCATTTCGCGCTCTAGATACAAAAATTACTATTTTCTACAAACGTCAAAAAATGACAAGGTTCGCGCATTGATAACAAATTGCGAAGTGACACTTTTTTTCAGTTTCCTACGTTACCATGATACCTTGCACATAACAATGCGCGAAGTAAAACAGTGCGCGAAGTACCTACTTCGCGCATTGTTATGTAAAATATATGAGATATTTATATTTTAACTTCATGGTCCTCAATCGAGCAAACATCCACGAAATCATTTATTTCTGAATGTTCAACAATAACTTTGTTTTATCTCTTGGAGCGCACGAAAGGAAATTCCTATTATGTTCGTGGAACATCGTGCGTACCTAGGGAGGATAGGGGGAGGCATTTCAAGCCAGTTCAACACTATTTTTCATATCAAGCTGAGCATATTTTTACTTTAGAACTATACTTTTTGACGTTTGTAGAAAAAATTTTGTTTGCAACTCGAGCGCGAAATACTTTGGTCATCTCGACTATTTTTTTAACTCGCCTACGCCTCGTTAAAAAAATCAGATCTCGATCACCAAAGTAGCATTTCGCGCTCTAGATACAAAAATAACTATTTTGTACCTAGAGCGCGAAATGCTACTTTGGTGATCGAGATCTGATTTTTTTTAACGAGGCGTAGCCGAGTTAAAAAAATAGTCGAGATGACCAAAGTATTTCGCGCTCGAGTTGCAAACAACATTTTTTCTACAAACGCCAAAAAATATAGTTCTGAAGTAAAAATATGCTTAGCTTGATATAAAAAATAGTGTTGATCTGGTTCAAAAAGCCTCCCCATATCCTCCCTAGGTACGCACGATGTTCCACGAACATAATAGGAATTTTTTTTGGTGCGCTACAAGAGATAAAACAAAGATATTGTTGAACATTCAGGAATAAATGATTTCGTGGATGTTTGCTCGATTGAGGACTATACAGTTGAAATATAAATATCTCATATATTTTACATAACAATGCGCGAAGTAGGTACTTCGCGCACTGTTTTACTTCGTGCATTGTTTTGTGCAAGGTATCATGGTAACGTAGGAAACTGAAAAAAAGTGTCACTTCGCAATTTGTTATCAATGCGCGAACCTTGTCATTTTTTGACGTTTGTAGAAAGAATATATTATTCTTTTGAGTTAACATACAAAGCCTACTATTCAAATGTCAAAACCATCAAAAATCGTCATTATTCAAGTTATTTTTCAATAATATTTCAGTGTGAAATTTTCTTACCGAATATACCACTTTAGCTTCAATTAATATCCTCGTCTTCGACTCGGGAGAATTTTCAAAATATTCTCGTGATATTATATAAGTGAAAATAACCCGAGCGATGACAATAAAAATATTGTATCTTTAATCTGGACGATCTTTTCGTTCCGGAATTCTTAACGAAATGGTTTCTATCTTTCAGTTCTATGTCGTTTTACCATTCGATAAATTGTTCATAAGATGGAATTTCAAGATTTTCCTCAACCAACGTTAAGTTACCTCATGCGAATTCTCTAAATGATTCTCGAATTGATCACTTAAAATTTTTCACGCACAATGGGCAATCAGTTGATGATTTCACCGCACTATTTGCAGGTGAATTGAAATTTTTTTTTGTGAGCTGTGAAATTTTTGTCAATGTTCAACTTCCATCCGCATCTATCACAGGAAAACTTATACACTTTCCCACTCTTTTTAGATGGGGCTATCTTAGTTGGATGAGACTTCAAACAATGCATTTTGAGACTTTGAAAAGAGCTGAACGTTTTTGTACATTCTGCACAAGTTTGATTCCATTTTCATTTTTATGTGTGAAACGCACGCAGATCAAACTATAATAATTATAAATGAGTAGATATTCTGCAAACAGTTGAATGTCAACCGACTATACACTCCTTCCCTTGATACATAATTTGGCGCCAGTTAAGGGTATTGGCTGTTTACCTACCAATAATAATATGATATTATTGTTTCGCTCCTTCGCTCCAACGTTCGTCCATATACGTTGGTCCCGCAGGTGATCTGTTCCCGCCATAAACAAACGAAACACACTACACTCTCGCGCTTGACGCGGTTCTTCCACTACGTTGTTTATTTTTTGCCTCCTTACTCCAGACGCTAGGCTAGGCTATTTTAGTTATGTGAGTAGAAAAAAGGGCATTTAGCGTACGGGTACGTACCACGCTAAATGATCGATTAATCACGGATTGACGATCTGTGATTTATTCAAAATATTAAAAACGTTACCATGGCAACACGATTTCTTAAAAACATTACCATGGCAACACAGTTCATTAAACACAGCTTCAGTAATTTGAGACATGTCTGGCCTGTCAATAGTATCAACTGTCAAATGTCATTTTCGAATTTTGTATCAGAATTATTCAAACAATTTTCGTTTGTATTAGAACATTTCATTGAAAATATATGCGAAATGTAGAATAAGAAAGTGAAATCGAAGAGAATGTTTTGGTAAGTACCTGCGTATCTCCAAGAAGTGTAAAAATGAAGCATCCATCTTTGAGAACAATTTATTTATTCTGCGCTAAGCACGACCATAAACGTGAAACAAAGGTTAGTAAGCAATGGACTGGACATATCTACAACCAATATCACTTATACGTGTCTCGCTGGTTGCATGCATCAGTTGCATCTATTATGTTCTCAATTCCCATTCCTTTCGAATTTGTAGGTTAGCAGGAATAGCAGGTATGTTGATGTAATTTTAGGAGTTCGTAGAAAAAGCATAGTGTGTAACGCGTTTATAAATTCTTCTAGACACTCGTTTATTAAACACTCGCTCCGCTCTGCTCCGCTCGTGCTTAAAATACTCGTTACTAAAAGGACGTTTATAACACTTGTTACATAATATACTATTGTTCGCGACGCAGTGCATTTAAAAATACCACGATTGTTCCCTTCTTTGGCTAGATTCATGAGGACATTTTCAAAGAACGAAATTGCTATGCTAGTTTAGTTTGGCCCAAATTGGTAATTATTCTCTTCTCCTAAGCAATTCATTCATCAATACCTACTAGACAGCAGCTGTGCTCTCGCTAACTACCTATCTTGTTAAGGTTTAGAGAAACCTATTAATATAAAATCAAAGTAGAGTATCTTCGAAAATTATCTCAATATGATTTGCATTTATTTAAATAAGTTATTTCAGCCAAATAACTACATTTAATACTTTTCTAAATTTTTTTTTACATAAATGTAGGAAATTTTGTCCTCTTCAACTTTGCGTTGAACATCTTTTGTCGTGAAAGCCACAGTTTTTGGGTTATTACCAACAAAAAAACCAAACGCGTGTACATAAAATCCGCATGTACTTCGAAGTCAAAAACTTGGATTTATCATTAGGGCCGCAATCCTAACAACATACTATAAAATCGCTACTACCCCACCATTTACATTCAAACACCCCTATTCGATATATCCACGTAGGTACTGGACTAATTCCTCACGACTCAGTTATAAGTATAGTCTTTTTGATCTGTTTCGACGATTCCTCCAAGATCTTCCAATTTTATTTCACGATATTCAAGATCTATAAAACATCCTCGTTTGACAACACTGTCAAATTCACTCTTCACTTTGTGCGATTCAAATCTTCCTCATTCGAATATGTTTTATGGCAAATCTCACCCTCTTCTTCTTCTTTTGTTTTTATTAGTTTTTCGACTTCTTGCGGTGCCAATTCAATTTCGGAATACTCAATTTCGATATCACATTCTTGTTTGACAACACTGTCAAATTCACTCTTCACTTTGTGTGATTCAAGGTGTAAATTCGAATCTTCCTCATTGGAATATCTTTCAAGGCAAATGTCACTCTCCTCTTCCTCTTCTTTTGTTTCTATTGGTTTTTCGACTCCTTGCGGTTCTAATTTAATTTTGGAATACCTGATGTCGCTATCACATTCTTGTTTGACAACACTGTCGAATACACTCTTTACGTTGTGTGATTCAAGGTGTAAATTCGAATCTTCCTCATTGGAATATGTTTCATGGCAAATGTCAATCTCCTCTTCCTCTTCTTTTGTTTCTATCGGTTTTTCGACTTCTTGCGGTTCCAATTTAATTTCGGAATACTCAATTTCGATATCACATTCTTGTTTGACAACACTGTGCAAATTCGAATCTTCCTCATTTGAATATGTTTCATGGAAAATGTCACTCTCCTCTTCCTCTTCTTCTTTTGTTTCTATTGGTTTTTCGACTCCTTGCGGTGCCAATTCAATTTCGGAATACTCAATTTCGTTATCACATTCTTGTTTGACAACACTGTCAAATTCGCTCGTCACTTTGTGTGATTCGAGGTGCACAGAATGTTTCTCTTTTGAATAGTCCTTGTTGGGTAGCTCTTTCTGGGTAATCTCGCTGCCGGGAGAGCGTACACGAGCGTGCATATTATTGTGCCTAATCAAGACGTTCTTGAATGCAAACTGCTTGTTGCAAACATCACATTGGTAAGGTTTCACGCCGATATGTTGGTATATGTGATGTGCCAAAGTTCTCTTGAACGGAAACGTCTCGTGGCAGATATCGCATTGGAAAGGTTTCGCGCCAGTGTGCAAAAAGTGGTGATTGGTCAAACTGCGCTTGTAGGCAAACTTCTTGTGGCATATCTCGCATTCGTAGGCATTTAAACCACTGTGCAATATACTGTGCTTGTTCAAGACCCATCTGGAGCTGAACTTCTTGAGGCAAACGCCGCACTGGTAGGGTTTTTCGCCAGTGTGCAGGGCGTTGTGCCTTGTCAAGGCCTGCTTAAACGAAAACTTCTTGAGGCAGATATCGCATTCAAAAGGTTTCGCACCAGTGTGCAAAAGATTGTGTCTGGTCAAACCCTGCTTGTAGGCGAATTTCTTTTGGCATACTTCGCATTCATGGGCGTATCGTTTTTCATCGTCGTGAATGATACTGTGCTTCCTCAATGTCCATTTAGTGGTGAATCTTTTATGGCAAGTTTGACATTTGTAAGGTCTCTCACCAGTATGCGACATGGTGTGTGCGAGCAAGGTATGTTTAGCGGGAAACTTCTCGTGGCAAATTTCACACTCGTAAGGTTTTTTACCGGTGTGCGAAATATTGTGTTTTTGCGAAACCTGTTTTTTGGTGGACAGCTTATTGTTATTTTGACATTCGTAAGGTTTTTCACCGTTGTGCATAATGATGTGATTCCTCAAACCCTGTTTCGAGTTGAAAAGTTTGCTGCAAATATGACATTTTAATCCTTTTTCTTCAACAGCTGGATTTTCCATTTCTTCACAAAGAAATACCTTCAAATGGACTAGACCTTCTGTGCATTAAAATTTTTGTGGATTACACAAATTATGTTCAGTTCATATTATCGATTCCAATGTCTTTCAACATGATGCAATTTCTCTATAAGTGAAGGCAATATGAGTTGCTGATGAATCTGTGGGTATAATTTTTGGCAACGGCTGGCTGCATTTTATCTGTAAGAAACAAGAAAAAAATGAAACAATATAGAATATTTCATGAAACTACTTTTTTGTGAGCATTAGGTTTTTCATAGACATGCAAAATACACTGTGTTAGTTCAAGATCCGTTTAGTAGTCCAAAGTCGTGTTAGTTACACCAGAGATGTATAGAAATTTAACTGGTGGGCTCACTCTTCAATTGTTTCGTCAGACTAACTCTCGATATGGAACAATTGCAAGCGAGTTTTGAAAGTGGGGTTCAGGTATTTGACGATAGAGGCGCCATAATCGGAAAATCGTTCAAAACCTTGGTTCTGTGAGGGATGAATCTATTTCCATCATTGTTCTGTGGTCGAATTACGGTGTTTTAATCCTATAATTGTAATAGTTGTTCATTAGTGTTTAATTCTTTAATTGTTGTTTAGTAGGTTTGTTGTTTGTTTGGTTTATAGTGTTTAGTTTTTATATTTCATCATGGACTGGCGTTGCTGCAATATATGCGGATCGTATGAAAAGTAAGTACGAATTCAACTAACTAACATTATAAGATATCATTCAACATTAAAATACAGACTTTTGAAAAGATGTCACTAATTGGTGATTATTTCATGAATAAATACTGTGCTCAACACTTTCATTCAAATTTCAATTTGAAATAGAAGCAAGAAATCTTTTTTGTAGCCGATTTTAATAATAAGCTTCACTTCTTTCATGACATGAACCAATTTAAAGCATGAAATCTGATGAATTTCCTCTTCGAAGAACCAGAACGAAGAATTTATCAACTATTGAAATAGACCAATATCGAAAATCATAATACACAGATATGGTAACTGGTACTCATCTTAGAAATTTATTCACACCAGTTCACGCTGATATTTCAAATAACTGAAATAATACTGTTGTAGAACAGAGATTTTCTTTTTTCTATGGTGGATTAGGTATTATACACAATCTCAAAAATAACCATTTTTTCAGCTCAAGAATATTTTTGGCATATTGACGTTTCGGTCCTTTGATCAGAAATCAGTTCACTGCTCTGATCCAAATCATATACGTATCCAAATAGTTATCGGTCGGTAATATGTTTCCTGTAAATATGGATTGTAACCAGGATGAGCTAGCGAGATTTACTCACGTCAAGTATGTTCATCAAAGGTTTATCAGAGTAGGCGCCATCGAGAAACTTGTAAACGACCTTCAATAGGGAGCAAGCGCACCAGTTAAATTTCTATACATCTCTGTTACACCATTTATAACTCAAGAACGGATGGACGAATTTTTATGATATTTGGATAATAAGTATTTGAATTCGTGGAAATTAGGAAATTCAAGATGGCCGACGAGTATTTTAATTATGATCCGATTGCATTCGAAATGGATATCTGGGGTTTTTCCGGGGTCGGAGATTATGATTCCTTCGTTGAAATTCAGAAATTATCAAGTACCCAATAGAGGAACACATTTTTTGAAAAAAACTTCCATCCATGTGTATTTTTTTTCGAAATTTCCAAAAAAGGGGTCCTGTGGGGTTAATTCTTGCCCGACAAAATAATGTAAGATATACAAATCTCCAAGACAAAATATTTCGAGATATAAACATTATCAAGTACTATTAGAGGGACACATTCATATAAAAAAATTCTCATGCAAGTGTATTTTGACAAAGATATGACTTTTCTTCAAAAATTTCAAAAACGGGTCCTGTGGGGTTAATTCTTGCCCGACAGAATATTGTGAGATACATATATACATTATCAAGTACTATTAGAGGAACACATTCGTAAAAAAATACTCCCATTCACGAGTGTTTTTTGAAAAAATTATGAATTTGTTTCGAAATTTTTAAAAAGAGGTCCTGTGTGGTTAATTCTTGCCCGACAAAATATTTTCAGATATACCCATTATCAAATACCATTAGAGGAACACATTTATAGATAACACTTCCATTCACGTCAATTTGGAAGAAGTTATAATTTTTTTTCGAAATTTCCAAAAAGGGGTCTTGTGGAGTTGATTCTTGCCCGACAAAATATTTTGAGATATAAACTTCATCAAGTACCATCAGAGGAACACATTCATAGAAAAAACTCCCATTCAAGTGTATTTTGACTAAAATTTTACTTTTTTCAAAATTTCCAAAACGGGGTCTTGTGGGGTTAATTCTTGCCCGACAGAATATTGTGAGACACAAACAATATCAAGTACTATCAGAGGAACACATTCATGTAAAAATACTTCCATTCACGAGTATTTTGAAAAAGTTATGAATTTGTTTTGAAATTTTCAAAAAGGGGTCCTGTGGGGTAAATTCTTGCCCCTAAAATATTGTGAGATAAACTGAATATAAAAGGAACGTTGGAGGAATCCATTGATGGAAAAAAGTTTCATCCACGGATATATTTTGGAGGTTTCAGTCAATTTCATGGCCTGCCATGAGTTTAAATTAGTAATAGAGGACCATTGGTATGGCGCGCGCCTTGAATAATTATTGGCGAAGTTGTGGCTGAAACTGACGGCTGGTTTCACACTGATCTCCTTTTTTTTCTCTTGGAACTTAGGTCGTGAGCACGATGACTGACCCTGGAGGGGAAGCATTGAAACACAACCTCACTTTTCTGTAAAACATTGGATCACAACCTCACTTTTCTTATTTGTTCAGCAATGTTTTCTGCTACTGCTAGCTAGATTTCTCTCAAACGGGTCTCTCCATGTAGTGGTCGACGGAGTTTCATCTGACTCTCTTATCAAAAATGCTGGTGTTCCGCAAGGATCAATTCTAGCACCAACACTATTTCTACTCCATATCAACGATTTGTTGGGAGCAACTTCATGTCCAGTACACAGCTTCGCGGATGATAGTACCCTCCAAACCGCCTTCTCTTCCAGGGCTCCAATACCAGCCAGGCAAATCAGAAACGAACGAGGGAGAAATGTTGACAACATAAATATGGACAATTCTCGAATGGGGATCCAATAACTTGGTAGATTTCAATGCAAACAAAACACAAGCATGCCTTTTCTCTAGAAAAGCCGATCTCACTGTGCCCAACATAAGCTTGTCAGGAGTAACCATACCTTTGAAGACATCCCTTCCCATCGATGCTTGGTATTACTATCAGCAATAACCTTTCTTGGGAAAATCACGTGAGATCAATTGCTAAAAGTGCATCCCAAAAACTTGGTTTTCTGTTTCGGGTCAGGAGTTATTTCACTTCCAGTCAGCTGCTTATGATCTATAAGTCACAGATCCGACCTGTCCTGGAATACTTTTCCCATATTTGGAGTACAGCACCCAAACATACCCTGAAACTCTTGGATTCTGTCAAAAAAAGGCAATTCGTCTCGTGGGTGATGCCTCGCTCACAAACTCACTCACTCAAAAGTTGTCGATCTGGCTCTATTTTATAGATATTTTCATGGACGATGCTCTTCTGAAATATCAACAATTGTTCCTCCCTTGGCAGTTCCCGCGAAATTAACCTGTCGAGTTGAGGCTTCGCACCCCTTCGTGGTCACTTTGGAGACCTGCAGAACATCTCTTTCCAAAGACTCGTTCATCCAACGAACAGCGAGGCTCTGGAACACATTGCCAAGGGAGGTGTATAACCTCCAGAAATTTAAGAAGAACACCAATTCCTACCTTATTTTCCTTGGTCCTCACGATGTTCTCTGAAAATTACAGTTCTTCACAATATTTTGAGATACAAATTGTGTTTTTTGAGCTATTCATTAATTGAAGCATACCATCACATTGTTCTGTTGTACAATGCACAAAAAATGCAGCGAGAGACGAAGGGATATGATTTTTCAGGTAATATAGTGATTTCACATAGCTTTTCATTATGAAATATCGTCATTTCTGATTAAATTTCCTTCAGCCACTTTTGCAATAGAAGCTAATACTGCTACTAATAGATTGAAAATGTCTAAAACACACACGATCATATTTCGTCGGTAGCTCAGACCAGTCCTCCCGTTTGATTGCAGGAATTCAATCTTGTTGCCTGAAGATGCTAACATAGTTAGCGAAACACGTATCGAGGTGTAAAAAATCGGTTTGGTTAGTGGTGAAACAGTGTGTGGTGTATTATCGTGCCAAAGGTTCCAGTCTCCGATATATGAAAAAGTTGAAACTTTGGGAACATTGGGAAAATATGTACTGGTAATATAGATAGACGTTATTCATTCAGTAGTAATGTAGTACTCGTACATGCATAACATAGATAGGTACAATTCTTATTTAAAATTATTTTGGTATAAATAATAATTATAATCTTTCCCACTCCATTGAGGAAACACCTAAGCACCGTGATGCTTGTATTGTATATCCTCCAAGGAGTATGAAAAGCGTATGGATTTATGTCAGAACTAGGTACCTATTTTACATATAATACTAGAAAAATTGGGAGTTTCAAATTCTCGTGTTTAGAAAAACAAAAACTATATGTTAATAATACCGAGTAAGTGACCAACATTTATATTCCTTTGTCATCAAGATATTCAGAGACATTGAGTCGGTACGTTTTAGTTTAATGACTAAAAATATCAGAAAATTTTGACGAGGTTAGAGTTGCGAAGTAGGATCATTTTGACTTCAGATTTATATTTGAGAAGATAATTGATTTGTTTCAGATCATTCGGCAGTAAGTTGTACAATTTTGGTCCATAGAAGTGGACACATCTTTGTGTGTGAGACGTGAGATTATTTTATGAATAGGTAAGTCAATGGACATACTAATAGTGAATCTAGTAATTCTTGTTTTGTTTGTTTTCAGGCTTAATCTTTCTTGGAACATCCATATTAAACATTGAA